AATTAAGCAAACTAATTGTTTCCTGCAAACTCCATTCCCCTTTCATTCCTCTTTTATTTCTTCTGGGAGGGGCCATTCATTATCCACCTGTGGCCTTACTCCCAAGTTGACCCCTGTTCTTTAGCTGTTCCCTTTGTCTGGCAACTCTGTGCATGTGCACACTGGGAACAGGCACCAGCTGTTCGTCTGTCTCACTGATGTCTGACACTGAAGGCAGCTGATAACTGGCATACTGCTCTGGCCCTCTCTCTACTTCTGACACAGAGCCCTCATCAGAGCCTTCCCCAGACTCAAAGACTGGCCCATGTTCCTCCCCAACCTCCTCACTGTTCAAAACTGCTGCCACCACTGGCCGTTGGCAGGCCACAATACCATCCACTTTGGTTTTGTTGGCAAAAATTCCTAGCAACCTGATAATTATTAGGGAGTCATGCTTCTAATATCAGCTTTACTTCCAAATGTATCTCTGGACCACAGAATAACATATAGATGTTAGTACAAATAAACAACAAACGTGGATGGATGTTTTCTTTGGAAGCCTTCAATCTGTCAACAAAGCAACAGAAAGCTAAAGTTGGCAGAAGTGATAGGGACAATCCGGGAAGAGGACAGGGCCTTGCAGGTAACAATTTCACCAGGTGTCTTTGAGTGAATGTATTTTCTGATTAGCTACATCACAAAGACTACTGTATTTTGAATAGGCAAGACCTTTATGGCAATCATTCTGTGAGAGTACTGAATATCAACATCATCTTGATATTCCTAAAAGGTTCCCTGACTGCACAAGTCTGCTTATTCATAATTAAGTAGAAATTGGATAGCTGCAACTTTCACCTTTTTATTTCCTAGGTATTGCACCAATTGTCTGATATGATTGAACCCCAACCCTGCGTGGCCAATAATGAGAATAATGAAAGATGGAGTCTAAACCCCTGTCCTGACAACCATCCGCTGCTGATGGTCCAGCAGTGTTCATTATAAAAATTAAAATAAAGATCTATGTCTAATATTTCTGGCACAGAGATAGGGCCTCATTGTGACCTGATAAAGACGCTTTTATATTCAGTAATATATAATCCAGTGACAGATTACTGTACAAAGAAAGGCAAAGATTACTTCCACTGTATACTCAAACATAGATTAAGATCTCTATATTTTATACAAAGGCAAAGTATGTGATTAAGCTTCTAGAGAGATACTGAGAATTTTAATGGTTTGTAGATTCCCTACAGATCAGATAGGATTGGTTTCATCCATCATCTGACTGCAGAAGCTTTAGAAAGATATTAGTTGTGTTAACTTCAGGGCAACATTTTAGCTCCCTTAGTATCTCGCTTTAAAAAAAAAGAGTATTTGTTTTATTCTCACAATTTATTCCATAGTGATAACAGCATTGATTTTCTTTTCTATGCGTTGGCTTCATTCAATTGATAAGATCAACCAAACCTTTAAAATAAATTCCACTGACAAACAGCTTGTGAAAAATGACTTCCTTTCCTCTATATTACCAATGGTCTCCATTTAACTGCAAAGATTTAAAGGGAGTTTCACTAGAAAATAAAATGGCATTCATCTTTTTTATGTTTATAATATTATCTAGATGAGCATGATATCTAAGAAAGAGAAAGCAAGAGAAAGGGAGAAAGATTGGTGCCTTTGGTAAAAAAAAAAATACTGTATTTGCTAAATGATAATTTAATTTTTGGATATATCTCTTATATCTTGCAATTCCAGGAATAGGGCAAACCTAAATACACTAACTATATCTTTGAAGATATTTTTTTGGTTTCATCTTTCTTCAAAGTATCCTTCAACAATTCCTTTCTTCCTTCAGTCATTCCTTCCTTCTTTCCTTCCTTCTTCCCTCCCACCCTTCCTTTTTTGGGTTTTTTGGGTTAATTATTAGCAGTTATCACCAAAGAAGAGAGGCATCTTCAATAACTCCATTGAGTCTCTCCAAACATAAATGCACATGTGTACACACGTATACATACATTTACCTCTTTTCTCCCATATGCACATAGACAACAGCCATAGCAATGAACAGCTGCCTTAATAGCCCTCTAAGTAAAAAGTTGGTATCTAAATTGAATAATCATAATGAATTACAATTGCAAAATCATCAGGTGAAATCAGAGGGGAAGAGATCCAGGTGATACTTCACATGACAAAAGTTGAAACTCTAGAATTTCCTCTTGAAAAAGCACTTTTGGGACAACCATGACTGAATATCTCCGTAGACATTTGTTGAAGATGATAATGTCTATTATTTTGCAGATTCCACTGGAGTCTATAGGGTAAAACCACAAAAAGTGTGTGAGTTTTCCAGATTAGGACTGGGGGAAAAAAAGAACTCAGCTACTTTACTATCTGAAGCAAGGACAAAAGTCTTATCGCACTCCATGCATTAAAATTGACCAGACCAGCTCTATTTCAGCAATGTAACAACAAAGAAACCAGAATGAGGGCAGAAGGTTAGATTAAATGGTGTCAAGACACTATTCCCATTTCCTTCCTCTCTTAGCCACCAACCATCTGCTGCTCAAGGCAGAAGATTCAATCTGCCTAACAGCTGACTGCAGATATTTTAGTTCTGCTCTAGCTGTGCCGCAGAGGCATGTGTTCTTCGTGAATCCTTTTCAGAGAAAGTACTAATTTAAAACATAAAACCATAACAAATCTCAAGATATACAGTTCGTCCTCAACTTACAGCAGTTCATTTAGTGACTGCTCAAAGTTACGACAGCAATGAAAAAAGTTGACTTATAATCTTTTTTCACCGCTATGACCTTTGCAGCATCCCCATGAGCATGTGATCAAAATTCAGATGCTTGACAACTGATTCATATTTATGACCGTTGCTGTGTCCCAGGGTCTTGTGATCACCTTTTGTGACCTTCTGACAAGCAAAATCAATGGGGAACCCAGATTCACTTAACAACTGGGTTACTAACTTATCAACTGCAGTGATCACTTAACACCTGTGACAACGAAGGTCACAGTAAAATGGGGCAAAGCTCACTTAACAAATGTTTCACTTAGCAACAGAAATTTTGGGCTCCATTGTGGTTGTAAGACAAGGATTACCTGCACAGTAAACTACTGATTCCTTTGCAGACCATGATACAAGTGCAATCTTCTTGAGAACATCACAAGGAGAAGCGAAAAAAAAGAAGAGGATTAAAGCAGTGATCCCCAACCCCCGGTCCACGGACCGGTGCCGGGCCGTGGAGTACCTGGCACCGGGCCGC